ATGCTTAAATAGTTGCATAAAGAGATGAAGAAGCATGATCCATTTTGTTTACAGTCACTGAACCAGAGACGCCTACTAAACAAGGAAAATCAAAAGCAACATTAAAAGTGTGGAGTTTTCCAATTAATTTTGTCTGATAAGGGCCTTATTTATGTTTCATATTAAGCTGTTAAGGAGAGGAAAAGACAGAAAACAAGTACATCTCTGTACAGTGGTGCGTCGCTTGCAATCACAAAAGCGATCGCTTTGCGATGGTCCCTATGGGTTTTTTTCGCTTTGCGATGAACGCGGGGAAGCAATCATGGCAAAGCAACCCTTTTTTAACAGCTGATCGGCGGTTTCAAAATGGTCGCTGGGAAAACAAAATGGCCACCCGCTGTGTTTCCTCGCTTTAGAGGCACCGAAAATGGCCGCCCCTATAGAGGATCTTCGCTTAAAGGTTAGTTTTTAGCCCACAGGAACGCATTAATCACATTTTAATGCATTTCTATGGGCTTTTTAATATCACTTAGCGATGAAATCACTTAGCAACGTTTTTTCCAGAACGGGTTAACGTTGCTAAGCGAGGCGCCACTGAATATAAATGCATCTACTGTCTGAAACAGGTCACTCACTATGGTGGATTTAGATCAGCGATGGAAGAAGTCACTCAGCTTGACTCAGAGCTGTTCCATAACCACCAATGCAATGCCATTTGTCTGATTTACTGTTGAAGAATTTTGAGTATAATGTTCAAGAGTATCTCTTCCTTCTCACCAGGTCTCCCATCAGCTCCACCTGCTTGCTTCCCTACTCACTTGGCTGTAGCAGTAGGAGGGAAAGTTTGCTTGATGCTTTAGCACAAGATCTCCCTTGATGGCTACCAGAGCACCATCACCACATGTTGGGACCCCCAGGAAAGGAATTTTTTCCCATTGCACTCCAGTCCTTCATTTATGAATCAAATGCCCTGAAAACTTCTTGTCCCAGAGATACACCCAAGCCCAATACAAAGTAGAAAGAAACTTTTGGGAAGAGCAGTGTTCATTTTGTAATGCAAGCAAATATTGCTACTGGAAATAAAACAAACAGTTTCACTTACACTTATGAACCTATTATGAATGGTTATGATATTCTGTTCCAACAAATTTCTCTGTGGCTTTGGAAGTTATCTGGCTTTAGTTGCAAATAGGCATTAACTGATAGACCATTATTTATTTTCTTTTACTGGGCCTGTGCCATTTGCTGTGGTTTCCAGATTGTCTTCACCACAGTGCACATTGTGAATTAAAGTGAATAAAACCAGTGAATAAAACCAGAAACATAACACTCCTGAGGTAAGAATTGTGTCCATTTATTATAATATACTGCAAAAATCAATCCTTCTTTGATCTCTTACTGGATCAAGACATTGGAGCGGGCAAATGAGCACTCAATGATCACATACATATTCAGTAGCCTAAAAAGAAATAAATCACCAAAGGAACTATTTCATGCTACAGAGCTGGAATCTTGTCAAAATCCTAACAAGAATTTGCCAGCAAATATGGACATGAAAGAACAGTCTACAGATGGAAAATATTCAATATATATTTCAATTCTGTAGAACAAAGATGCCAACAACTGGAAAAACTATAGGACAATCACATTTATTTCCCATGCAAGCAAAATGATATTTAATATTTTACAACAAAGACTTTCACAATATTTGGTGCAAGAAATGCCAGATATTCAAGGTGGATTTAGAAATGGAAGATGCACTAAACCTTATATTGCAAATAGGTAATATCAAAGAATATTGGAAGAAAATCAGTTTGTGATTCACAGATTATTGTCAAGTTAGTGATTCATGGACTGAGTATATAGATAATCAAAAGCTGTGGATTATTTTATATTTTATATGTCAATGGGAAAGTTGCCATTTGATTATCTTGAAGCAAAACCCATACTCTGGACAACAGGCTATGGTTAAGAAAGAATGTGAAGAAACAAAATAGTTAACAAGTTGTAAATACAAAGTTACATTTTATCTCTTTGTCTGTTCAGTCTATAAGCAGAACACACTGTGTATAAAGCTGGTTTAAACTGAGATGAAGGAGGATTGAAAATTGGTAGAACAAACATTAATAATTTAAGATATGCAGATAATACTATATTAATAAAAGAAAAAAGCAATTACTTGAAACAACTACACGTGACAGTTAAGAAAAGAAGTGTGAAATCAAGATTACAGCTGAACATTAAGACAATAAAAATGGTGACCAACAATGAAGAAGTCAGAAGATTGTCTGTACCTTGGTAAATCAAAATAGAAACTTCAGCCAAGAAATCTAATGAACAGTAAGTCAACTGATTTATTGTTTGTTAGATTTCTTGGCTGCCTTTTTTATTTTGATTGACCAATGTATAGAAATCTTCTGATTTCTTCATAGTTGGTCACCATTTTTATGGAGGAACTAAGAAAGACACTTAAAATGTAAGCAAAATTAAAGAGAGAAAAAGGCAAAATACCATGGCATTTTAAAGGTTGACAGATTTATTTCAACATTAATTATTGTGGATTAAAATCTACTTCTTAATTCTAACTAAAACATATAAGACCAAGGTGAAGATCATCGATAAGATGGATTTCTCATATATACAAATGAAAAAAGCTAAATGGAAAAAGTGAATCAATTTAAAATGTGATGTCCGAGAAGAGCTTTACAAAAAAAAAAAAAAAAGACAAATAATTGAGATCCAGATCAACAGCCTAAAATCTCACAAAAAGCTAAAATAGCCAAATGGTAGCTATCATACTTTTAACATATCATAGGAAAGCTAGATTTACTGGAAAAGATGATAATATTAGGAAAAGGGGAAGACCTAACAAAACATGAATTAAGCCAGTAAAACCATAGCTCTGAGATCTCAGCAGGGCTATTAATGACAGACTCTTTTAAAGGTCTTATTTATTTATTTATTTATTCAATTTTTACCCCGCCCCTCTAGACAACGTCTACTCGGGGCAGCTTACAAAAATTAAAACACATTAAAACAATGTAGAAAATAACTAGCATAATTATAATTAATACAGTGGGGTCATGACTTGAGAACTTAATCCGTATTGGAAGGCGGTTCTCAAGTCAAAAAGTCTGTAGGTCAAGTCTCCATTGAGCTACAGTGCATTGAAAACCGATTAATCCCGTAACAGGCCATTTTTGTTCCATTTTTGTTTTTTTCTGGTCTGTAAGTCAAATCTCAGTCTGCAAGTCAAATCTAACTTTTGCAGCCAGAGAAGTCTGTAACTCAAAAAGTCTGTAAGTCAAGCTGTCTGTAAGTCAAGGGTCCACTGTACTATCCAAGATGGCAACATTAAGAACCAGAAAAAAGGGGGGGGGAAAACTTAGGTGACGGGGGGGAGGCCTGTCTGAATAACCATGTTTTTAGTTGGTTTTTGAACACACCCAGTGAGGGTGCCAGCCGAATTTCAGTGGGAAGTGTGTTCCACAGCCAAGGGGCCACCGCCGAGAAGGCCCGGTTTCTTGTTTTCTCCTTCCGGGCCTCCCTCGGCGTCACTCCCCTCAGCCGTCCCTGCTGGCTATGTCGGGTGACTCGGGTAGATCTGGGTGGGAGGAGGCGATCTGCCAAATATTGAGGTCCCAAACCGTTTAGGGCTTTATATGTAATCATTAATACTTTGAAGTCAATCCGGAAACGAATAGGTAACCAGTGCAGCGCAGCCAGAGTGGGGGAGATGTGCTGATATTTTCTCATGCCACTAATAACCCTGCCTGCTGCATTCTGGACCATCTGGAGTTTCCGCATGAGCCTCAAAGGCAGCCCCACGTAGAGTGCGTTACAATGGTCTAATCTCGAGATTACGAGCGCATGGACTAGAGTAGTGAGGGCCCCCCGATCAAGATATGGTCGCAGCTGGGCAATCCGCCATAGATGAAAATAGGCAAAACGGACCACGGACGCCACCTGGGTTTCCATGGTTAGCGCCGGGTCCAGATGTATCCCCAAGCTGCGGACCTCACTCTTTGTGGCAAGGGTCTATAATTGCCAATTTCGTCCGCCGCCAGATTTGGTTTCTTTCTAATGGGCCTAATGAGTGTCTCCTATCGAGAATTACCGGGCAGGACGGAGCGCTGGACATCTCTGCTCGATCCATTGTATTTAAAAAAGGCGAAAGGTCACAGCGGATGACCTCCACTTTAGATTTAAAAAACACTGCAAATTGGTCAGGTGAGATGATAGAAGGAGGCCCTTCACCCTGGCCAATTCCGGATAGATCGCGAACTATACGGAAAAGTTCCGCCTGCCGGTTGGAAGCTTCGCTTATCTGGTCAGCGACGTAAGCTCTTCTAGCAGCCTTTACCTTGGCAAGGTAACGGTTAGTTGCGATCCTGACAGCGATCTTATTGTAAGCCATCAGTTCCTTCCTCCAAATGCACTCTAGCCGTCTCCTTATTCGCTTCATCACTCGTAGATCCTGACTATACCAGGGTCCTGGCCGAGCTCTACTCCAGAGAGGGAGTTTGGGTGCGATCGTGTCAACATCAACCAGGACTTCAACAGGAGCGCCAGCCAGTGCCGCTGGAATCCCTCTCATGGTATCCTGGAATCTCATGGGATCCAGTAACCTTCGAGGGCGGACCATCAAAATAGGTCCCTGCTCCCTGCAGGGAGGAAGTGCCATTGCGAGGTTACATTTTATCAGGTAATGGTTTGACCATGACAAGGGGACTGACACAAGGTCAGTCACCATCAGACCACGCTCGCTACACTCGGTAGAAAAGACCAGATCAAGCATATGGCCACCCGTGTGTGGGGCCGTTGACATGTTGGGACAAGTTCAAGAAAGCCATTAACTCAGAGGTCATTAACTCAGAGAAGTAACTTGATGACCCATAATGACAACACAACCTATCAGAAATATGATAGCACAGAACGTCCATCACTGAAATTTATTTGATTTTATATGGCTGAGTCTTACCATTCAAAATGTGAAAAGCTAACAAGCAGAGGATACTCACGGCATTCCTTTTCATCACTTTCATCAAAACAGTCTGGCAACCCGTCACACTGCCAGGCTCCTGGGATACAACGTCCATTACTACACATGAAGTTTCCAGGAATATTGCATTCATTTGTGAAGTTATTCCAAGGCAACAGCTGCCCTTCTGTAACAAGAAAAGAGAATGTACACAATGGTAAGATATTGGGGGAGGGGGGAAGCTTTCACTCTGGAAGTACAAAAACAAGGTGTAGCTAAAACAAAACAAACAAACAAACAAAAAACCCAGGAAGGGAGGCAGGCAAATTAAACAGTGAAAAGGGGTAAATTTGGCATAGTCCGTTTTGCCATGATTTACAAGAGACTCATACAATGCCTATAAAATTGTCCCTCCTATTAGCAAAGGAATCCATCAAACCACAAGGCCTTGCACAAATAGAAGGACATTATTTTTTCTTGTTTTAATTACATTTAGTTTACATATAAGAAAAACAAAAATATAAACAATGCAAAGCAACAATGAGCCCCTCACCACAGGGACCATCTAGTAACACAATACATACATATATTTTACACAAATGTTTCATTCATCTTTTAAAATCCCTTCCAAAAATACATATATTCTTGTCTCAGCTTTCCTTTATACAATACGGCATTTATAAAGTACTCTCGTATTTCATTAAATTTATTGATCTTTATCACTCATTTTTGTAAAACTATCAAATGTCAGTTTATCATTAACTGCAATAGGACATTATTATATACAATCCATAAAGACTATCTCACCTCAGTTCTGCTCTCAGACTCACACTGGACTCAGGATATTCTGATTTAAGTTACAGAAAAAGCTTCTAAGTATCTAGAACATTTTCAACATTAACAAGGAAGTTAAAGAATAAATATCATTCAATGCTAAAATCCTCTTGCTTAGCTGCTCCAAAATAATAGTTTTAGAAGAGGTAGCCTTATGAGTCTGTGCTAGCATATGAGGCAAAAACAAAAGTTTTTTAAAAAAGACAAAAATGTGGCACCTTAAAGACTAACTGCTATATTTTAATCTGAGGTTATATGGACAAATCCACTTCCTCAGACATAAGAGTAGGAGTACATGGCAAATATTTATGTCTGAGGAAATCATTTTGTTCACAAAAGCTCACATTAAAATATAACACTTAGTCTTTAAGATGCCACAATATTTTTGTCTTTATTTTTTATTCTTATTTTGGTTTTGCCTGATATGCTCCAAAATAAGGAATCACTGAGTCACAATATACAATAATGTCTCTGATGACTTCTTAACTTAAAGCAATTCACCTACAATAGTTATACTCTTTGTGTTATACCACTGTATCTAGGCAGTAAGATTAGGGTCAATATTACATCTGGATTCTAATGCATATAACCTGCTTCTGAAAACTGAAAGGTCAGCATGAGTCTCCCAAACAAACTTCCTGCGTGTTCCTCCTCTGGTTATTGAATGTGTGTGCTTTTTCTGCTGACTAAAAGATAAGAAGCCTTAAACATTTATGTCATCATAAAATTAACTGCCATAAACTGCAACTTATATTTGCTGATTTTGTTCTGAAGGGTAACACCAAGTTTCTTCTGACACTGAGCTTATTTGTTCTAAGACAGGCAGAACTTATTTGTGCATGTTGAACCAAGATAATCTTGGTCCAGAACTAGATATTTTGAGTGGCAGCAGCTCTCTACAATTTTAACTACAGATACTGTACATGATATCTTAAATTCTTATCCAGGAGAATATCTGAGTGCAAGATCTACATTTGACTATGCAACTGTTCTTACAGCAATAATTAATGAAACTCAGTTAAAACAATTGCCATGTGACATACTGAAAGATAATTAATAAAATAAAGGCTAAAGCTGCTTACAAAAGAATTAAAACAGATACAGATTTATACATAAGTAAAAATAAAATATAGAATAAACTGAGAATATTTTTGCACTGCATCAACTCCCTTTGTGAAGGAGTGAAATAAAACTTAATAAACTAATCAAAATGATCAAACATGCAATGTTAAGGTTTGTCCCCACATGTATTAAACCTAGAGCCCAGATTATGACTCAATTATTATCTCTGTAAATATCACAAAGCATTATTTAAGAATTATTGTTATATGCCATCAAGTCAACTTTGACTTATGACAACTTCTTCCATGTACTTCTAGATACAAAGTACATCAAAATGGTTGTTATGGTTTTTTTGGGCTCTTTGGCCGTGTTCTGAAGGTAGTTCTTCCTGACGTTTCTCCAGTCTCTGTGGCCAGCATCTTCAGAGGACTGGAGTAGGAACTCTGTCCATGCTCTGTTGTTTGTCGGTTAGTATTTATAGCTGTGGGAACGGCTTTTGTCTTTTTTCAAGAGATAGGGTGATCAGCATGTTTTTGTTGTGATGAGGGAGGGGGGAGAGGGAGAGATTATCTGTCACTGTGATTGATGGGGGTCGTTTGCTGGTCTTTTTTGTGCAATGGTCTCTGGCCCTTGTGGCTGTGTAAGAGTTTGTTGACCTTTCGCAGGTTGTATTTTTCACAATGGGGCGCCAGGCCGGATTTAGTTTCAGGCCTTCTTCTTTCCTGTTGAAGTTTTGTTTGTTTATGGATTTCAATGGCTTCCCTGTGCAGTCTGACATCATGATTGCTGGTGTTGTCCAGTACTTCAGTATTTTGAAATAGAATTTCATGTCCAGTTTGTTTTAGGGCATGTTCAGCTACTGCCAATTTTCTGGTTGTTTTAGTCTGCAGTGTCTCTCATGTTCTTTGATTCTGGTGTGAATGCTGCGTTTTGTGGGTCCAATATATACCTGTCCACAACTGCAAAGTATCCAGTATGGTTTGCCACTCCTTTCTTCTGATGGCAACCTTGGGTTGTGCGGCTTGTCCAAGGCTACACAGGCTGACTTTTATCTCAGTAGGGAAATCTAATTCTCAACATCTGGCTAACGCACTGAGCTATTCAGTCAGTTCAGAACTTAAGAAGAACATAATTGAGGGGGCAATAACTGATTTAAAACAATTTTTAAAAAGGACATATATAATATCTGCAACAAAAAAGCCCACCTAAAATAATACTATCCTAAGAACTTCTATTCAATTTATTAAGCCCCATGTGCTCTGCCATTCTTCATCATGCAGCCTGTTTTGTTTTTGGATATAAGAAGAATTTTAACACACTTTATCACTTTCTGCTAATAATTCAGCACTACAGTTTACAGCATTTGCAAACAAAAGAATAACTACTGACAACTTTGTCATAGCTACTGATGTTCGTCTGATATTCCCATAATCCTTCTTGACTAATTTAAATTCTCCTGTCTGCTATCGTTTATGTAATCTGCTGACTATTGGAGCTATCAAGTTCCTTAGGAAACACTCACGTCCAGCTACACGATGCTCTAATATTTACTTGGCAAAACTACAGGGTGGCAGTGTGAAGCGCCCCTACGTGTCCCCAGGTTATTTGACTAGCCTGAGGCCCATGACATGTTCCCTCTTTTACACTGCCACATTTTGACCTTTAATTAGACAGATTGAGGTCCCAGCTGTGAATGACCTTGAACAAAACAGGTTTATTGGTTACAAATCACATAAACAGGCTCTTCAAAGACTTAAAGTATTCAGTAGTTTAATAATAAGTTGTTTCACTCTTCGTCATCGTCGTTTAGTCGTTTAGTCGTGTCCGGCTCTTCGTGACCCCATGGAGCAGAGCACGCCAGGCCCTCCTGTCTTCCACTGCCTCCCGGAGTTGTGTCAAATTCATGTTAGTTGCTTCGATGACACTGTCCAACTGTTTCACTCTTAATTCTCTGTAACTCTTAACTCCGCCATTCTCTCCGTCTCTCACAAACTTCTACTTCAGACTCTCATCTCTGACTTTAACTGACTTCTCACGTCAGACTGTCTCACAATCTTTCTCTAACTCCCTGTCTTCCTGACTAACTCCTCTTCTTTGACTCACCCCTCCCTTCTGGTTTCTTTGGCTCTGCCTCCCAACAGCTCTCATTGGTATATGCAAATGATCTACCACATGAGCCAAAGCAGGGTGATTGCCACAGGCAGAAACCAAAGTACAGTAATTCATATTTGTTCACAGAAATGCTTTCCATTTCATCTTAATGTAACAATGGAATGCCTGAACTCCAGTATCCAGAACTGGAGAACCACTGTAATATCAAACTTAAGGTGTTGGGGTTCAAACCCTACAAACATTTTGTATCACAAAAGACCCGCTGGCTGGGAGGCACTTCAAAATGCTGTTACAAACAGTGGGGTGAAATCTTTTCTAACCAAGGAAGTCGGCAATGCTCCTTGGGGTGTTTCTGCACACTCTGGGAAGACTTACAGCGTGAAACCATTCACTCTTTATGGGTAGAAGACACTCATTTTGTCCCACAGTCAAAATCTAGAAGTAGTCATCAATGACTTCTCTCAAGATGGGTTAGAAATAAACCAACCATTCTCAGGAAAAACAGCTTATGCAGACACACCCCGACTCGCTTACTGTGATTTCTTTCTTCCATGCTTCAAGTCAATGTCTTCTGGTAAGAACGAGTTAAGATTCTGAGCTCAGAGTCTGTCCTGTAAAAACCAGCTTGGTGTAACAAATAATATGCCAGACTCTGAAATCACTTGAAACAAAACATATTTCAGTGGAGCTCATGAATTCATTCAGCTGTGAACCATCAAACACTGACTGATCAAGTGGTATGATATTATATGTTTGTACTGGCATTTTATTTCTTTGAAATAAATAGGACATAAATGGGATATAAGCAATAAACAGTTTTATTTCAACAGGACATTGCTGTCACCAATGTTTTTATTGAAATAAAACATTTCCCTGTCTCTTCCCCATCCCCCTGTCCACATGCACAAGCACACACACAAAACTGTTTTAACAATGTAACTATTAATTTATGGCAATTCATTTGAAAATCAGGCTTGAAAGTTTATTTGAAAAGATCTATCTATCTATCTATCTATCTATCTATCTATCTATCTATCTATCTATCTATCTATCTATCTATCTATCTATCTATCTATCTACAGTGGTGCCTCGCATAGCGAGGTTAATCCGTTCCGGATTAACCTTCGCTATGCTGAAGCATCGTTGAACGGGGCAGGGATTTCCATTGGAACGCATTAA